ATCAACAGTTACTTTATATAATTATATCAATGCTACACCTTAGAATTCATTGTAAAGATGATCAAATGTCAAGCTCAAAATTTTAATTCAATATCTTTCGACATCCCTCTTAAAATTTTTCCATTTGCCTGACCATGACAAGGGGCATTTGGCGGGTGGACATGGGAAACTTAATCATCCATGGCACCTGATCCCACGTCCGTATGTTTTAGATGTCTGTTTGCTCACCTCGAAATTTTTTGTATTGTTTCATTATACTTTTGAGTTAATTAAAATCTTATGGCGGACATCTACAAGAATTATTTTACTACAATTAATTTTTAATGTTTGAGAGGTGCTTTGCAGTGCTAATTAGTTATTCATATAAATGTAACTTTAATAGAAATAAATGTGTCTACACCGGATAAGAAAAAAAGTAATCACCTTGTAATATTCCATTAACGTGAGTCTTCTATTAAGTCTTTTCGGAAAGAAAAATGAAACTCGTATACAATACTCTACGAATCTGAATAAAGTCTAAATAAACTATTTTCTGGGAATCTTAGATACATCATACAGACGGAAAGGTCGTGTTATTATAATGGTAAAGACAGCTCTTTGATGTAAATTTCACTTTTCTCGACCGCATAGATCACCCTAACGACTAAGAGCTAATGGTTCGAAAGGTTTTAAAACTTCTGAAAGCTTTGGAAACAATATATGAACGTAATACAAACTAATGCAATAGTTTAGGAACATCCATCAGAAAATGACATTTATTGGTGGATGGTAGAGTAAGTCTGAATTACTACAACATGTTTCTACGTAATGAAAAACGTATTACAAGATGACACATCTTTTGTTGAAAAAAATCTGCACTTTCTAAATAGCCTTGGAGAGAGATAGAGAAGGGGATTTTCAAAATTTCATAGCTGGAAAAGTATGATTCCGGGAAATTATGACACATTGGTCGCTTAGATTTCACGCAGAGATAAGCAAAGTAAATGAATGGTTTTATTCTTGTGATAATATTTGATACCCATTACTAAAGAAACAGAAGCAATTAAAAAGATTTGATTAATAATCATTATACTTTTAAATCTCAATGGAAACGTCAGGGGAAATCGTTTTATTAAATGCAGCACTCGAAGCAGGAATCTACAACAGTGGAGTCTCTGTTATTTTTTTCCTCCAGAAAATATTCAATTCAGACTCAATTCTTTTGTACAAGTCAATCACAATTATAGTTTTTTTATGGTGGACGTGATGCAGTGTATACGTACATGCATAAAGTAACTACAAAGAGAAAATCAAAAGTATGAGACGTTTGCAGAAATCTACTTGCAACTTCAGAACATTATGATTTCTCGTACTCACAAAAATGTGTATACGGCTAATGCATTGGAGCGCTGACTGCAACTGTGCAATCATTTTTGTAATTAAGATTCTTAATAGTTTTGGATATGGAAAAATCATGTGCGATGATTTTTGTTATTCCTTCTTGTGGCTTTTTTTTTGTTGTTGTTTTTTTTTCCTCTCCCATTGGCTTAAAATATTCATTTAAAATGTAGGATGTATGAAAAATACATCTATTACTTAAAAAGCCATTGTCTGATAAATATCAGCAATGAAACTAAAACGAAATAAATGAAAATCTAAATTTTATTATTCAATTTGTAATCAATTCAAACATTCTAAACATTTCATTTAGCCTAGATGTATTAATTGAAAACTTTATTTGAACGTACGATCACCAACACTTCATTGTCTTTAATATTTCTCCTGGGGATAAATGGTAAAAATAAGAAATAAATTAGGCTCCAAATTTACAATTTTATATGATTTAATTTCCTCTTAGTCTAAAAAAATTGGTCATTACTGTATAGACAAATAACTGATACATACTTAAGGTCAGACGAGACGTTTCTCAAAATCTGTTTTGTATATCTTCGTAATGTATGAAAAATATTCAAAATTTTAATAACATTCTGATTTCTAAACCAGTTTCTAAACGTTTTTTAAAAATCCAAACGCTTAAACATTTGAAATTGGAAAATTATTTTTATTCCCCAAAGGATTATATAAGAAAAACTACCCCTGGTATCTTGCAGAAATGCCTGGTAAGGTACCTCAATTTTTTTGTGAGTACACATGTTTAAGTAGCAATACTTTAATGACAAACTCTTAGGAAAATTTATATATTATTTAGGAACGTCTCGTCTGTCCTTAAATAGTTATCATGAAACGTACATCCAGAATCTTTAAAATACCAGTTCTTTCGACTTTGATAAATTGCTTCTTTAACTGTATTACATCAAATAACACGAAACTAAATAAGAAGGCAAGTCCGGGCGTTTTAATTTGGTGTTCTCTGATATATGTCTTAAAAATTTCAATATCTGAAAAGTTAACTGAATTCCAGATCATTATAACAGAGCACTTGCTGATCTTGTAGCCTTCACCGCGTAAACTTAGTGAAATATTCTCTGATAATAATTATTCGGAGTTATCACAACCATTGAAAAATCATAATCGTCTCGACAGCCTAACAGCGAAAAATTCCATAGAATGTATACACTGGCGAATATTGTCGATGTGTTTTACAATTAGATTTTCTTTGATTAAGTTTAAGGGATTGTAAAAAGCTGTGTCTAATAAAAAGATGATTCAATTTAAGATGATAACGTATTTTATAAAGTAATGCGAGAAAGTGCAGGCATTTACGTAATATGAAACACTTCGGAGACAAAAATGATTTTTGAAATTTCGATTTTTACTCAAAAGGCGTCATAAAAATCTCAAGTAAAAATATCTTAAAATTTGAAAGAGTGCTCTATATCCACAATAACTTGTATGTTAAATTACATGAAAAATAAATTGCATCTTTGTGGTAGTCGAAAATTATTGTTTACAACTTGATCTGGAGATGCAGAACGTAATGTAAACAAGACTCGTGCCTTGTTTTTCTTTACATATAGAAAATATATTTTTAACAAAACGAGATTCTGCAAATCAATAGCAGATGTCTTATTGTATTTAGAATTAACTTCTTTATTGAAAAAAAAATCTGCTTTGAAGGAACACATACATGTATAAGTATATTTAACTTTTGTAAACAAAAACATGAGCCTTGTTTACATAACAAATGGTTTGGAGCACTAAATCTTCCTTGTATCTCGACAACAGAAATTCAAATTTTCGATAATCACGAAAAAAATAGATTTGTTAAGTTTTTGTATACATGCAAAAATAGAAAACTAAAATTTGAAAACTTAAAGTTGTAACTGTGTCCATGTCCCTTTAATTGTCAATCTGGATTTATTTAGTTGCATCGGTCAACAATTTGTATACATACATGTATGTACACATGTGGTAAGCTAAAACAAAGTATATGCTTACCACTAATACTGTTTTTGGCTTAAATACACTGCACTCAGAGTCTGTATTTTCATAAATCTCTCTATCATTCCCAATTTTTCTTTTAAATTAATACCAAAAAAGATTTTTTTGCTTTGGTCAAAGGTACAAATTAAAAACGAGCATTGTTTACTGCAAAGAAAAATATATTAGAAAAAGACGAGCAAGCTTTATCAAAATTACGCTTCGCCTTCAAATGTAAATGTAAATAAAGCAAGAAGCCAATTACTAGAATGGCTCAAATCTCTAAACTCATTTCTTTCCCCACCCGGATAAAAGGAGGCTTGGGATGAATTGGATTAAATGAAACAGGTCTACGCATTGCAAAGTAACAGTACGTGATTGCTTTGATAAAGCTTGCAACACGTTTGCAATATACCTTTTGACCGATAATTTAAAGCCTGAGCTTAGGATTATTGTAATCCCACTTAGATGTCTTTTAGATCTTGGTCATTATTCGCTTGAATCTAAATCAGACATATTCTTAGCACCTTTAGTCGTTACTGACGATCTTATTAGTATTAATTTTATTTCAATTCACAAATACATTTCACGAGCGTTTTTCACAAAGTCACTCCTTTAATTTTCGCCGTTCATGCTTAGCTTATTTAGTTTTTGCTAATTTTGTCAATGTTGGGTGCGACGACTTTTGAGGTCAAAGTGATTGTCATTTATACGTTATATAAGTAATACTTGTCATAAGAGGAAACCTTTCAGTATAATATAGAGTATTCAATGAAAATATTTTTTTCAGAAAATCTTTGAAATAACTATTTTAAAATGGAATAAGACTACTCTAGACTCTAAATCGGGATAGGTTCTTGACAAACATGTTGAGGAAACAAGATTATCAGCAGTCTTGGTCTTCATCTCGTAAGTTCAATTGTCGATACATTGACCTTGTCACAAAATACAATCTATAATTAAATCAAATGCTGAGTGACGTTATACATACTAACTTTTCTGCCATTATTACCACACCGCATTGTCGAATGATTTTTTTTTTCGTTATTTCCCGATCATGACATGGAGCAGCAGGTGTGACTATTCGTCAGGGGATGCCTTCTCCCCCATGGCACCTGATCCCACCTCTGATATCTAAAGAGGTCTGTGCGTGTGTTTGCTACAACATTTGTATTGTTTTAGAGATTTTGAGCTTGAACATTATACTGTTCGTTATCCCTATACACTTCATTGCCGAGTTTTTATTTTTCATTCATGAGATAACCAGATTTGAGATAATTACATTTCGAATAAAATCTTAAAAATGAATGCACCCCACTGCAAAATATAGTACTTTATGTACAAGAAACTATGGTTTACCTAGTAGAGTTGAAGTGCAAGCATGTATCCAAATTCCATTGTACATTGACCCCTTGCACAAATACACTGTAAAAGATCGACAACTCTTTCGAAGTAACACGGTCACGCTTTGCTCTTACAAATACATGTTATATAATATAGACAACTTTGTGTGTAAACTCTAAGACGCTGTAAGAAATTTAATAGACAATACAAATGAATGATAAAAAATTAAACGTCCTTGCAATATAATATTTTTTCTTTGTGGAAATGAGGACATTATTTTAACATATTATGTATAATTATCAAAAACGGCAGAGATTAACTATTAAATGTAACGTAATATAAATCTCAAAATCTTAAAAAACAGAATAGATAAAGATGACCATAATATAAGGACAAAGTTAAAAAAATCACTGCTCTATTTCAAAATAAGTTTGCTGTCATGAAATATTCACTGGTGTAATGTTCCGTTTTGAATGAGACGAATACGCTTTGGTGCTGAACGGAAGTGGCGAAGAAACCCGAGGAGTCCCGAACCTAGGTGGCGAAGATAGTCGACTGCTGGGAGGCGGATGAACTTGCAGAGGGGGGACTCGAGAAACGTTTGTAGAAATGTGTACATTTGTTCCAAATTTTAAAGCCACATAAATGGATATCGTTGACCCTATCAAGGATAAACACGTTCCAATGCATCCTATGGTGAAGGACCAGGATAGGCTCATGTCGTAAACTCCGGACCACTTCGGAATCATGTCGTAAGATATAGATTCGAACGATCCAGCGTAGATGCAGAGGGCAAATAAATTGAACACAACTGCAAATTAAAAAAAAAATATGTTAATTATAATTATAAAACCCTTTATATAATAGTTAACTTAATATTTATTGAGATGAGTATAACGAAAAAATATTACTATATCTTTGCAATTGACAACCTCGCCAATTTTTTAATTGCCAAAAAAATATCTATAACTGTGATTATCTGATAAATAAAAAATTAATCTAATTCGCGTGAGTAAAGATTTTAACGTCAAGAATTTATAATCCATACAATGAGGAGATAAAATACACTGATGGCTGTTTTTTATTCAAGGTTCTTTCAACACAATAATGATTACGTAATATTGTAATATTTTAGCGATACGAAGAAATGAAGCACTTTCAGTTCTTAAAGACATAATATTTTCTTAATTAAATTGTTGGCCCTTTGTTCCCAACTTCAATAGCAAATTCTTTATCTACGATACATTATTATCATTAGGAACGTGTTATTTAATGGTACTTGGCGTGGTTTGTGAAATAAATGTCCTTGAGGATGTGTTTGAAATTATCTATAAAGATAAGATGGAAATTAAACCTCAACGGAAATGCGTTAAATAATTAACATTCCTAATAACAAAATGCATGCAATTAAGTCCTTGAATTTTTGTGCAGGGACACGTGCGTTCAAAATGACGAATATGGATGAATAGACACTAATCTTAGTTACATATAGCATGTAACATTTACATTTTTATTGTACATTGTTATTAATCAATATAGGCCTAAATAATTTCAGATTTTTCTTAAATGTATCAATGTGCGTATACTTTTCAATATCAATAATTTTATTTTATTGTAGTTGGAACACGTCATATGATTGTATAAAAGATTTGGTTTATATCGTATACTATAAATGTATTATATTTGGCGTGTACGATATTTGGCGGAAATTGAATTTTCAACAGATTGACGTAGATTTGATTTAGCGCTTTTTGAATGTGCATTACATGAACCTTTATACACAAAGCATTGGCGATTTACTTGATTTAGCGGAGGCTGCTTTCCGCGAAAGGCGCTAAAAAGAATACAGAGCCAAATGTAATACGTTTACAGTATAACATACGTTGCCTGCGTCACAACGAGTATTACTGCGCTTGACGTTACTTTTAAAATATGCCTAAGCATTTTTGGAAGAAAAATTAACTTATTGACTACAATGAAATTAAATTATAAGAAATAAAGTGATTGATTGTATGTAATCCGAGATTCCTCTGACTCTAACCCCTGCTTTTATATTGTGACTTTTGCAGGGGAGAGTCAGAGCGGAGGCCATATTGAAAGTGAGAATTCGCAAAGAAGGAGAATGGCGAGGAAACAACCTAATTCAAGTGATGCTTCATTTGTCGGTGATAGGGTCGTTTAAACGGCGAAAGCATCATATTAATGACGATTAACAAGTAGGAGAATAATTGTTTTACTGATTTCTCGCGTCTCGGGAGTTAGCTCCGCGAAATAAAGTTGTAAAAGGTAGGCAGAGTTGCGACACCAACTGGTATCGCGAAATTCCCACTTTTTGTCCCCCGCTTGAAAAGTGGGGGATATTAATTTGGGTTTGTCCGTCCGTCCGTCCGTCCGTCTTTCTGTCTGTCTGTAACGCTTTCGTTTCCACACGATATCCCGAGAACCCTTTAAGCTTTTGCAATGAAATTTAGCATAGCAACTCCCTATGGACTAAGAAAGACCCCTATTGATTTTGAGGTCAAAAGGTCAAAGGTCAAGGTCATAAATAAGCAAATTCTGTCTGTTATAACACTTTCGTTTCCACACGATATCTCTAGAACCATTTGAGCTATCGCTATGAAATTTTGCTTAATAACTCCCTGTGGCCTAATGAAGACCCCTATTGATTTTGAGGTAAAAAGGTCAAAGTTCAAGGTCGTAAATTTATACATTCTGTCTGTGTGTAACACTATCATTTCCGGGCGATATTTCAAGAAGATTTTGAGCTTATGCAATATAATTTTATACCAAAACTCCCTAGGACCTCTCTCACCCCTCTCAAAGTGCCCCGCCCCGTTTGTTTTATTAGTATTTATAGTATTACATGTCGCTATTTTTAGCACAGGGGCATGAGGAGAGTTATTGCGTATAAAACAGGTTCTCGGCGGACTTTATGTTCTTATTACATCTATTAGAACTGTTTAATAAAGGCTAAATAAATCAAACACCATGGATTGTGTAAAATTTTTAGAATACCGAACATGAATATATACATGTATGTGACTTTACTTCTGCATATACTTGACTCCATGTAAAGCGATTCCGTGGTCTATTGGTATGTCTCTCGCTTCACATGTGAGAGGTCCCAGGATCGAATCTCGGTCGATCCTTTTTTTATTTTTTTTTTTAAAATACTTTTCTTTTTTTTTTTTTACTAAATGATAGTATTCAGCATGTGAAATGAAAGATTTATGAGGTTATAAAATCATCATTACAGTGCGATAAATATTCCATATAAAAAGAAAATTCTATACACATAATAAAGAATAAGCAATCAAATCTTTATATGCATATTGACATACATGTATTTTATTTGCTTCAGTATACATGTATACCTTCAATAATTCTACAAATTCAGTCAGGGGGATCCGACTTTTTCCCTAAGCGGGGGACACGAATTCTCTGAATTAGCTTGTCAATATGGCCTCCGCTCTGACTCTCCCCTGCACAAGTCACAATATAAAAGCAGGGGTTAGAGTCAGAGGAATCTCGGATTAGATAGTATGTTGTGTAACGTAACTCTCGAGAATTTTTCACTCATATGGAGACGCCACCACTTGTTGGTGGAAAGCTACAAATTTTGTCCTATACATGTACTTGGCATTCAGGGCCATTGCGCAGGGAGGGATCTTTCTCGTGCCAGCACCTAATGTGACATGTGACCTCGGTTTATGGGTCTCATCCGAAGGACAGGTCTCCACGTCCAACAGTGAGATTCGAACCCGCGATGTAAGGATCAAGTTTTTATATACTTTGCAATTTAGAGCAGACGCTCAAACCACTGCGCCAAAAAGCCCCAGAGAAGTTCGGTAAGAAGTAAGAAGTCCGATCCTACCTAACAACCCCCCCCCCCCGAAATAGGATTTTCGTGTTAGGACAATAGACATATTTCTCGTTCTTCGTTTTTCTTTTCTTTTTTTTTAGCCCCCCTCGGCTATAAAGGCTTCTTGACCACCTCTGACAAAACAACCTCGACTGTGTTCTACATGTGTCCAAGAGACCTACATGTACAATGTATCTTTCAATTTGCTTCCAACGCCTATGAGAGTTATCGATCCATTTATACGTGCTGTAGCGAAGCGTATAATACATGTACGTCCTCTGGTGAGAGATGTTGACACATTTCATAAATCATGATACTTGAATTTCACTTACCGGAAATTAAACACAGCGTACCCGACTTCTGAGTCCATAAACGCGATCTCTTTTTATTTTGGAAGAACGAGAGTATCGACCAAGCCGTAGAGATGCACAGCAAAATTAGTCCTACTGTCGACAAAGCACTGCATACGAACGTCATCACTGAAAGCAAACGTAAACTTGTGTATCTAAATATAATTGCATTTCAATTTGTCAAATGTTGTACATTCGATTTTTTCCATTTACATGGTAACAAGTTAAAACTTAAGGTTTATCGATACTCTGATAAGAAAGATAACTGTAAATGACATAAATGTCTATTATTCCTTAAGTTTATAGATTTGACGAGTTGAAGTGTCTTTTTTGTCAAATTTTGCCCCGCAAGCTATGCTATAATTGTTCGTATTTTACTTATAAAATACATTTCTTTTGGAAAATCATTAATGTTCAAGCAACATTTTACATGGGTGAGCAGAGGATTAATGAACCTTAATAATTCTTTCTGCATATGTAATATTCAGTTTTAATCAAGATAAACACAAGTACATGCATCTGCAGCTGTATGTCAGATATTGATTTAAGGTGTTTCGCTTCTGACGAAATTGAATTCACCGCGCAACTCGAACTGCCGGAAATTGGTCTGAATGTCGTTATAATAAAGAATTCAATACGGCAGAGAATTAATAGTTTCTACAAATAATTATAATCATCATCCATAGAAAGTAACATAATAACGATTTTTTATGCCAGAAAACAAACATATAATAAGCATTTTACATTTCGCGGATGTGAACCGGATTACGATAATGTAAACAAAAAGCAGACGAGAAGTCAAGGTCTGCGCGGTAACTTTGGTTGAGATGGTGAAACCAAAGTACAGACGCCATGGGTTCGTCTCAAAAAAGCAGAAGGAGAGATATGATAAAGTATCTGCAGGGCAATTGACTCGATGGATTAGGGGAGCTATCCTTACAGACCACAATTACTCCGCCAGTGCAACCCCTGTCAGCGTTGATCACGATCACGGTTTGTACATGTAAAATACGTAATCTAAAAGACTCGTTTTCATATCTGCATCTAAATTACCATGATTACACATAGGTCTATTAAAAATATTAGAAATATTAAAGGGAGGTACATGAATTTGTTGATGTTCATTTTATATACCAGGTCTAATCTAAAGACTTTTTGAACTATGACTACGTGTAGCTATTTAAAAAAAAATTATAATAGTTAAAGATGTGCACCAAAAGAGAAGATATTGAATTTTTCTCAATATTTCATTGAAAAACAACATGACATAACTAAGACATTGAAAACTTGTTTTTATCAAGTATATAATTGAATTTTCAAAGATATATTTTGATAAAAACAAGTTTTCATCTGATCATGCTGATTGACAACAAAGTTTTAAAAATATAATTTTTTTTGGGGGGGGGGGGGGGGGTATTTTATTGAAAACCACATGGCCTATTGTAATCAAAGTGCAACATGGAAATTTGAATCATATTTGATAATAATAAATTTAACTATATACATGATGTTATATGTGGATTTCAATAAAATATATATATACTAGGCCTAGCTGTTACAAAAAAAAATTACATTTGCTGAATCAGATGTCTTACCTTACATGACAATACTAATCAAAGATAATTACTGTATTTTATTTTAATACACTGCACGTGATGAAAGATATACTCATTTGACCCACAGGCCTTTAGATCACTTAGAAAAAAAATTGAGGTGTTAAAAAAAAAATAAAGGTATGGAACTCTTTTCATAGGGTACCTACTTTCACCAATAAAATTCTTTTAAATTGAATGCTTTACAAATTTACTTTTTATCCATATCTATCCATATATAAACAATCTTCATTCCTTCAAATTTCATTCCGTAATTCCTTATACTTCTTAAGATATTATGAAATCAATTCCGAAATTGACCTAAATTTTTTTAATTGACATCAGCTTGCCAATGGGCCCAACACTAATTGTTACGCGGGAACGACAGGACAAATTTTCTCCAAAGTCTATTCTAAACTCAATGAATATTTGCTCATTTGAATTTGAGATTTACATGATTTTTCTTTAATTGGATCATATGATCTTACTAAGTCACAAACAAAATGTTAGCGGTCTAATTGTTTTGAAAATAGAAAGGTATATAATCATGATAATGCATTACGGGAAAAAATTGTTCAACCATATAGCTTCTTTTACATTCATAATCAAAATGGCGGTGTAGTTGTTGATGCAGATTTTAACTTATTAATACAGACTACTTAACCTTACAATCTGGAGTAAGAAATCAACTTTAAAATGTTGAAAGATCTTGCAAATGCTATGCAACTCTTCGCTGCACCTCATACACCGTCTGTTTACATGTGAATGACCAGGGGCCCAAGCAAATGTCGAGTAAAAGAAAGTAGATCATATTTTAGATTGATTTCAGAATATCTTGAGAAATATCGGTATATGGAAAAATATGTTGTATATCGGCACTATGAATTATTTTGAAAACTGGTTCTTGGAATTTAGTAAGTGTATCTAAACAGTCAACTAGTCAGGATGTGTTACAGTAGATAATAAAGAATGTGTAATGGTGATAATTTTTATTCATTATTCATAGAATTGCCAAATTTGAATATACTGGAAAGAGAGGAGGTGGTGGATGGGGAAGAAGTGACTACATCTGAGGATTGGAAGGAGGGGAGGAGAGTAGTAGAACTTGGAGTGTTAGCTGAGGGCTTGCGGGGATGTTGTAAATGTGGCTTACCATTACAACTTTCACACACTATTTCTGTGTTGACATATGGTTTAGCTTCTTTGTTAAAGGTATGAACTCACCAATTTTTGCACAGTTTGTATAAAAACAACCTTGAAAGGTTTTTCCTTGAATTTTTCTCCATATAAAACAGGCAGTATTCCATATATCCATATTTTTAGTTTTGAAAGATGTTACATTTTTTTCTTTGAAGTAATTTGAAGTAATGCATATTTAAATTCTTTTTTCCCAAGCATTTGATTTCATTAATGGTGAATGAATTTAGAACAGTGACCTGTAATTAGGGATTCATTGATTTTACATTAACATTTCAGGTCTGTTGCAGCAATACAAAGTGTAATCATATTAACCATGTAAAAACGGGGAAAAAACATGGAAGAGTGTGGGATGTAAATACAAAGCTATCAGCAGGTAAGAAGTTTAACGTACACATCCCCTACATCAGTTACATGTATATTTATTATTGTCAAGTCACAAGAGCCTGATTGAGTTTTACCTGTCTATTCCAATATAAGCAAGTTTGTTGTCCCCCTCAACAGCAACTTGGACGCACCTTGAGAAATTGTTGCTGTCTTGGGGGACAATAAACTTGCTTTTGTCCTCATAGCCAGTAAATAGGTATATGTATCTATAAATTGATATAATCAGTGGCGGATTTAAGGGGGGGCACACCCGGCGCGCACCCCCCCTGAAATTGTCAAAGTTAGCATAAAACATAGTTTTGTCGAGGAAATGTTTCTGATGTCTACTTGGTAGACCTCATTTTTACCCTACAAAACCTCTAGACTCCCCCACCAGGGCTTTGCCTCAAGGCGGCCCCCAGACCCCCTGCCTGAATCTGGCGCCCAACCCGCCAGGGTTCGACACTAACATTTTTCGGCGTTGGTCTAGCCGGACTAGTGTATCTTTAATTTTATTAGTCCACAGGCAATTTTATGAGTCCGTCAAAAATATAATTAAACAATAGAATTTACATTTCAAGGTACTTTTTATACTTTTTTTGTAATAAACAAAGCATGCGTTTACATGAAATGTTTTATACCAATATTTGTTGAAATTGCCTGATCAGGAACTAGGATCGTGTTCCCAATCTCATATTCTCTATAAATGATTACGACATCCAAATGCCCGACATCTTTCTTTATGAGTCATGATAAATCATAATCCCTAAAATGTTTAATTTCATTCCAATGAGTCCTAAAATTAAGTGCCGAATTGACTCAGAATTACATAACTTTCCGCCAAGATGCAAGAAAGCTAAAAATACATACGGGTTTTCCAGTGAAAGTTGTCGAGAACTTCGGTAATTTTTTCCCCCAGAAAACTTTATTAGTCCATTCGGACTAATACGCCACAACTTTTATTAGTCCAAATGAAAATGTATTAGTCTGAGACTTATTAGTCTGAGACTTATTAGTCTGAGACTAACGGACTAACGTTAATGTCGAACCCTGCCCGTCTAACTTCAATTCCTGGATCCGCCCCTGATAATGTTTAATTCAGAATAAAAACTTGATGAGAAGGCAAGCTATTTTTAACTTATTGAAGCCAGAGGCTCATTTCAGCTTTCTGATCTTTTTCCATTTATCTGTCTGTCAACTTTTCAAAATATGCTTTAAAGGAGAGGGAAGTGGGTACTGGTATACTGTTTTACTCTTGTGTTTTACCACACAGTCACACCTTGTTTTGGCAATATGCCATATGATGGAATTCACTTTTATAGAAATCCAATGTCTGCTTCCTATTTATCCATGTGTCTGCCTGTATATTCACAAAAGAACCTATATTCACATCATAGAAAGGGTATAACAAGTTAGAATGGGACTTTTTTTGATTTGTTCTCTAAACCACTTGACTATTCAGATGGAAAAAATTCTCTGTAGAACAGCAAAGCCTTATTACTGTATTAATCATATTGATATTGAATCATCCTAATGTAGATCATTTCAAGTTTTGTTGCCATTACCCCTAGGGGTTTAGTTTGTTAAAAGTATGGGTTCTATTTTTAATTTCTGGTAATAAAGAGAGAAAATAAAGGAGACTAAGATGAGTGTTGTATTTCACAAGCTTCTTGTTTAAAGTGATTAGATTGATTTCTTTTTTACATTTATGAATTTGTATTTACAGCAATTGTACATGTTGGTATTGGTGCAACACAAGTCAACAGTCTCCTTTCTGAGCTGAATATACCACCTGTAAGCCATGCCATGCTGGACAAAAGACAGAAAGAGATAGGCAGAGCTGTTGAAGATATTGCTGCAGAGTCTATGTCTGATGCTTTGCAGAAGGAACTGGAAATGATGAATGAGTGTGTAAACAATATAAATTCAGTTTAAATCTCACTATTTAGCTCAAATGAGCCAAAGGCGCAATAGAGCTTTTCTGATCAGATCAATGGGTGTCTAGCATACATGTGTAGTGGTCATATGGTATAACCTGTGTTGGTTAAGTCACAATTACTAACATGTATGTCACAAACATAACAACCCATTTAATTTTACATATAAGATACATGTATGTACTAATTGCATGCATCTTTGAAGGAAAAATTGTCTTATTTTCTTTACTTATTGATGGAGAATTAAATTATAAGGAATTAACTTCATAGTTATCCAAGTTATAATAGTGTAACCAGTGCTTTGAAATGAAAGCCTCGCTGTATAGAAAGCCAAAACTGGCACAACCCAGGATATACAGTATAACTTGGGTAGCTATTAAATTCATTCCTAGAATGAATTAAAAAAGGAAAATTTGATTGAAGAAAAAAAATTGAAGAGTGACAGAGACAGTCTAATCAAAATTAGATGTTAGATCTGCTCGCATAATTGCTACACTAGCATCTAACAACATCCTATAGAGGGTCACTCAGAGTTCAAATTTGGAACAACCCTAGACTTATTTTCTTCAATTGCGTCAACAAATAAACAATGATTTTGCAAGAGACAATTTGATTGGTTGATTAGAATTTGACCTCTGACATGACCCTCAATGAGATGTTGTTAGATGTTTGTGTAGCGAGTATGCAAGTGGATCTAACAAATAATTTTAATTAGATTGGACAGAGACAGTGACTTCCTAGAGTATTGTGGCCCAAGCCCCAAGAGCCTCGTGTTTTAGTTTTGATCCCCAAATGAAAATCATAGGGAATACCTAATAATAATTGATAGTGATCAAGTTAATAGAATCTGATATACTGATAAATATAAGGTTTAGTCATGTGCAGTATAATTTGTGTTGATAAATATGCAGAATGTTATGCACATTAGGGGGTGTTCTAAAGGAGACAGGTTCACAGTTAATAACTGATGTCTGTTATTTAACTATTTTTCAGAGAGATGAACGAAAATGGACTAGTTGTTGCTGTAGATGCTGGATGGCAAAAACGGGGTAGCGGAAAGACATATGATAGTTTATCAGGTAAAAATACTGTAAAAGCACAAATATTCGGGGGAATTAAATTTTGTTTATTCCGTTAACAAAATTCCAACAAAATTAAATCCCACACGAAATTTTATATGACTATATATTGAATAGGGCTTTAAAAAAAATATGTTTGTTTCCTGTAACATTCCAAAAAAATTAAGGGTCGGTAGGTCGGGATTTTTTTTTTCTTATGAATTGTCAAACATCCCTGGACTCAATATACCAGGTGTCATATTTACAGTGGACACCCAACATGGCATCCAAAATGGCTGCCTAGCGGCGGAAAACGATCTTCAGAAAGTTGTAGGGGGAAATTGTTGTTATAATAATGATTACTCTTTATAACTAATCAAACTTAAATGTAAACTAGGTTGACATATTTTATGTCTCAAGTTAAGCTACAAGCTAATTTTCTTTTTTTAATAAATGGAATCAGCTGATTGATCAAACGAAGTTTTGCCATTTGTCAGAAAAAAAAATTCACCCGGGGGGTAATTTGAATGGGTCGGTCGGGTTACAGGAAACAAACATATTTTTTTTAGACCTAGGGTTAGTTTTAAAACAACGACGAGATTATTTTTGATGTCAAAACAACAAAATTTTATGCCCACGAAACAGATGCAATAAATTTAGAAAGACACATATCTCAAAGTTCAACTGTCCATATAAATTGTAAAATATTCTTCTAAAGAACAGCCATGAATAGTTATGTTGCTCATGCAGGTAAAGCATATTCAGTTTTGTTCGAAATATGGACCCAAGGTGGGATGATGGAGCCAAAAAAGGATATAATGTTTACACGGGAATATATATAGGAGAAAAATCATTAAGAGTCATAATGAGTCAAATCAAAATATTAAAATATTAGGTGATTTTACACAGTTAGCGTATTCGCTAATCGCTCTATGGCACGCAACCAATTTTTAACGACACTTATTAGAAACATTATTTACCAAAGCATTGTCAATACTTAGAACACTAACTTCAAAGAAGTAGGAATTTGGTCCCTATTGCATCCTGCAAACACGTTTTATAGCAACTGTTTACTTTTTTAAAGTTGAACGATTTGCATTAATTATACAGCACCCCTCATGAAAAATAAATATTTGACCTAATTATGCTATAGTGCACTGGACGCACAGGTTCATTGCTGACTAAAGGGGTTAAAGGTTATTACCAAATGCATACATGTAACATCAGTGATCGAGTTTGATTTTCCTTGCCAAAGTATTAAGACATACATTTTATTAAGTTAAGAAATGCATGAAAAATGCTTTAATAAAAACAACGAATACATCTATAAGTTATACAGTTTTTCTAATTTGTAATTTTTCAGGTCATTGTTCCATGGTTGGTCCTCTCTCCGACAAAGTATTGTCATACTCTCTGAGGTCTAAGAATTGCAGAGTATGCAGTGTAGCTGAATCAACCAACAAGAATCCAGCAGCCCATGAGTGCTCAAAGAATTGGGAGGGTAGTTCAAAGGCCATGGAGGCAGATATGGTTATTGAGATGGTCCAAGATCTACAGAAAAGTAAAGGAATAACCATTGATGGAATCATTGGAGATGAGGACTCTACCACTATTGCAAGACTGAAAGCTTAAATGTCAATGCTGATATTAAGAAGTTGTCTGATAAAAATCATCTAAAGAAACTGTTTACAAACTCTTTGTTTACCTTGAAGAAAAAACATTCATCTCTAACTTTGTCTGTGATAAAGTACATTCAGAAATGCTTCAGTTACTCCATAGCACAGGGAAAAGGAAATGCTTCTCAAATCAAAGAAGACCTTTCATCAATTCCATTACACATATTTGGAGATCACCAACACTGCTCCTCAAGGTGGTGCAACTTCATTAACAACCCTAACCTGAGGTACAAGTCACTTCCACATGGAAAACCCCTGAAAGATAGGTTCCTTCAGGATGATCTGAAAGAAGTCTTCAGTTCATATGCAAGTCATTCTGATCGTCTTTCATGCTTAGGAAGCACACAGTCCAATGAGAGTTTTCACAGAATGGTGTCTGCAAAAGCCCCAAAGACCCATCATTACAGCTCTTCTTCAAGCCTCAGATATAGAGTTGCTGCATGTGTAGCCCAGAAAAATGTTGGACACAGATATCTTGTAAAGGTTTGTAAATTTTTATTTTTTCATGCTTATTGTGTCATATCTGAGTTGAACCACTCAAGTTATCTCTTACATTTGAAAATTCTGCAAATTTTAATCAAAAGCAGATTGTATTGTATATGTATGTACATTGTAGTTGTACATAATAGATTCTTTTATCCTTATTAAAGGTTAACAAGAAATTGGGCCTCTCTCCTGGCTACTATACTCGACGACAGTGCATTCTGAGGGATTTGCAAAGAAAGCGACAGAAGGCCATTTCAGTGACACAGAAATTTAAAAGGAGAAGGAGAGAATTGAAAGCCAGGAAGTACGTACTAGTATACTTTGATTGTCATTTGTCAGGTGTAAAAAACCTTTTGTCAACCTCAAAAATGAAAATAAACCAAGAACAAGTGAATGATGATAAGTATGAATTTAAGTGGGAATTAATATCTTGCATGTTACTAAGATTTGTTTTCTGAATCACCAAAGATTTACGGTATGCTTGTTATAAATAGCATGGTTTGATAAATATTTTTTTCAAAGAAGGGAGGGCATATTGCTTTGCTGCAATCTTAAAATAAAAATTTTACCTACCTACATACCCAGTTTTTTAGCTCACCTTAGCGGAAAGCTCAAGTGAGCTTTACTGATAAAAATGTATCTGTTGTCATTAACTTTTCACATTTCCATCTTCCTCTCAAGAACAACTAGGCCAATTTCAACCAAACTTGCTACAAAGTTAGTATCCACTGGGCCAGGTAAGATGAAACTCATATGGAATCATCTTCAGGTAGTGTAGATTCAAGTTTGTTCAAATCTTGACCCTGGGGGATAGGGTGGGACCACATAGCCAATCAAAGTTTTACACAGGAATATATAGAGAATTTGAAATCTTTAAAAATCTTCTCAAGGACTGCAAAGCCATGATAAGTGATATTGAAATGAAATCATCCTCAGGTAGTGTAGATTCTAGATTGTTTAAATCATGACCCCCAGGGATAGGGTGGGGCCACAATTGCATTTTACAGTACAATATATTTTTTAAAAAATTCTCAAGAATAGCAAAGCTATGATTGGTGATATTAATATGGAAGCATCCTCAGGTAAAGTAGAATTAATTTTTTTTTTCAAATCATACATGGTGGATCAAAGTTTTACATAGGAAAATAAAGGGAAAAAATCCCCCCCCCCCCCCGAAAAAAAAGAGAAGCTATGTTTAGTCATATGGAAATGTAAACATCCTCATGTATTGAAGATTTAAATTTGTTTAAATCCTGATCCTTTGTGGTAGGGAGGGAAACAGTGGGGAATCAAATTCAAATTATTACTAAGTAATATATACGAACAAAATGTTAAAAAAGTTATATGCTGTATTGATATGGAGGCATTCTTAAGTAGTGATAAAATTTAAGCCCCCCCTTCAGTAAATTACATGTACCATAACTTTTCTATTCTGGTCTACTTTGTGCTCTTTCCTTGCCGATGTGCTCAGGATTTTCATTTATTTACAACTCCTAATTTATTAGCTGTACATTAGGTGATTGTTTATTTTGCTAGGCCTTTTGTAAGACCTCAGTTTAGAATCATTTGTTTTACAGTATACATCTTCTTTACAGAATTCAAAGTATTTCTACAAAAGAAACAAGGGAAGGCATCAGTTATTTAACAGGATGTGATCTCCAGCAGGCCTCTGACATCGTTGAAATTCCAGCTCCAAAAACAATTCCAAAGTATGATCATCTCCCTTCAAGTCAGCTGTTAAATGCTGAAGAGATCTATTTTGATTTGGAAACTACTGGACTCGGTAAGAACCTAGATTTAAATGTTAAGTCAATGCTGATGGTTATGGCCCTCTTCCGGTATTTCTTTTGTATGCATTTTGAAGGAATAATACTAAAGTTATCATAGAAAACGAATAGAAATGGAGACTCTTGCATAATTCCGGTATTGGTACAAGTAGTTGAGCATGTTTTATATCTTTCAAAACTTTACCCTTCCTTCTGAGGACACTGATTAAAAAGAAATTGCATATTCTGAAAGAATTCAAGCATCTTTGAAGGAGTTAAGTCTTGGGGAAGAGGGTTACTATTATTATAATGTTTCAAAATTTTTTAAATCATGCATACTGTAAACGGATTACATTTGGCTGTGTATTCTAATAGCGGATTTGGCGAAACGCAGCAACCGCTAAATCAAGTACAACGCTAAATGTCTTGCACATATACACATAAAGAAGAAAATGAAGAAATGCGCTAAATCAAATCTACGCTTACTTATTCAAAAGTCAATTTCTGCCAAATATCATACATGCTAAATATAATACATTTACAATATATCAATTTTTGTATTTATTTTTTTTAATGCTTTTAATTTTAAAAACTTGAATTTACTTAAGGAATGAATTAAATAGCAACCCAAATTATACTGTATTACCTGGGTTGGGGCAGTTTACGCTTTCTAAACCTCAAAGTGGTTTATAAAAAAGCGTAAACTGCTCCAACCCAGGTTGTAGCAGTATAATTTGGGTTGCCATTTAATTCACTCCTTATGATTTAATTTTCAATCATCAAGAATATAAAACAAGACAAATTTTCTCTTTATAACGCCTTCAAATAGTTCATATTTTAAACGTAACGTCAAGCGGATTGATACAATTTGATGTAAGTCATTGTGACGTAAGCAAACCAGATTATACAATTTAGATTAATTTTTTATCCAATCAAATGATGCGTTACAATCAAAATTAAATTATTTGTTTTTTATTTTTAGCAAGGGATTCTCATATTGTGCAGTTGTCTGCAGTTAGAAATGATGAGGTTTTCAACAAATACATCATTCCAGAAAAACCAATGTCCTCAAAAGCTACTGAAATTACTGGAATAAAAGTAGTCAACAATAAAATGTACCACAATGATGAGGAAGTTGAGACAGTCAGCATTAAGGATGCACTGATCCAGTTTATCGACTTCATGAAGAAATCGGAGTCAGATGCTGTTCTAGTTGGACACAACTCCAAAGTGTTTGACCTTCCTGTGCTGTTCAACATTTTGAGTAAATTAAACATTTTGGAGGCATTCTCATCTGCAGTCATTGGTTTCATTGATACCTTACCTCTTTTCAAAATTTCGCATCCAAACCTTTCATCATACTCACAGTTACACCTCTTCGAAGAAATTCTACAAGACAAATACAGTGCGCATGACTCATTACAGGATGTCTTAGCCTTGAAGAGATTGTTGGACCATACAGGACCTTCCCCTGAAGTCAAACTTGCTGCATCTTTCACTTCAAACTCTGCCTTTGCCATATTCCATCACAAGAGCACAACAAAAAGTCTAATGAGCACACTAAAGCCTTTATTGGACCAAAAGGTGATTTCGAATGGAATGGGAAATAAGATTGCCAGCAGTGGACTCTCCTTATCACACTTACAACTGGCTTATCGCAGAAATGGTAGGGAGGGAGTACAGGATGTGCTGACAGAGATAACAGATAACAGTGTGCGTGTGACAAAATCTAGAAAAATCATTGATTCTGTTGCAGATTTTCTCAGATCTGAGCAGTAACGCAGTTGTATGATGTTCTTTGTATGTAACTATGTTATTGTTTGTTTGGTTGTTTGTTTGTTTGTTTGATTTCTGTGAGCCAGTGCTCACTAGTAATACCCTCACTCTGATGTGAATATGGACAGACAGGAATAAACAAAGTTAATTGACAATGGATTCGTACAAAAATGAATCCAACCATATTTCATGTCTAAAAAATTTCAAGCATCTGTGATGAGTAGTTGTGGAGAAAACTGTGACAAAAATTTATTATTTGTGGTACAGACAGATGCACAGATAAACAGGAAGTTGACATCAGATTCGTCTAAAACCAATTCCAACGGTGATGAGTAGTTGTGGAGAAAACTGTGACAAAAATTTGTTATTTGTGGTACAGACAGATGCACAGATAAACAGGAAGTTGACATCAGATTCGTCTAAAACCAATTCCAATGGTGATGAGTAGTTGTGGAGAAAACTGTGACAAAAATTTATTATTTGTGGTACAGACAGATGCACAGATAAACAGGAAGTTGACATCAGATTCGTCTAAAACCAATTCCAACTGTGATGAGTAGTTGTGGAGAAAACTGTGACAAAAATTTGTTATTTGTGGTACAGACAGATGCACAGATAAACAGGAAGTTGACATCAGATTCGTCTAAAACCAATTCCAACTGTGATGAGTAGTTGTGGAGAAAACTGTGACAAAAATTTATTATTTGTGGTACAGACAGATGCACAGATAAACAGGAAGTTGACATCAGATTCGTCTAAAACCAATTCCAACTGTGATGAGTAGTTGTGGAGAAAACTGTGACAAAAATTTACTATTTGTGGTACAGACAGATGCACAGATAATCAGGAATTTGACATCAGATTCGTCGAAAACCAATTCCAAATGTGATGAGTAGTTTTGGAGAAAACTGTGACAAAAATTTACTATTTGTGGTACAGACAAATGCACAGATAATCAGGAAGTTGACATCAGATTCGTCTAAAACCAATTCCAACATACGGCATGGCTAAAGAAAGAGTGTGCTAAAACTTAAAGCATCTGTGATGAGCAATTGAGCATGATGAGTGATTGCTGAGAAAAATTGGACAAAAATTTGTTACTGACAGAAAGACACACAAGTGTAGAAAGAAAAACAGTATAAACCCTGTGCTTCAGAGCAGGGGTATAATTATGCCATGAACTATTGTTTTTTTCAATGTTTATTATTATAGGTAGTTTGTAGTTGAACAAAACATTTTCTTTCCATTCAAAATAAATCCTTATTTAGAAATTGACAACAATTTATTTTCATTACCCATATTTTGAGCATACATGAAAAATTAAAAGGTGTTCATTGATATTTATTGAAGAAGACTATGTGCATATTAAATTGAAACATGCACAAATGAATATGAAAAGACATTCTGTAAATGTTTAATATTGTGTATGACCTATACTTGGCAGTAATCTATTTTTCAACAATCGGGCTAGGTTTGATTTTTAGCAAAATTTTTATTGTGTACTTATAAATACGCAGGTCATAAAGTTAGCGATGTTCTTGAAATAGCAACAGCAGTTTTCTGTCAAAGGCACAAAAAATCTAATGTTTGCAGTATATAAAAATGTTGTACCCCGGTATGTTACTTGTAAAGGTAACAATTTGATAGATCTCTATCACAAGGAAACATGGATCTGAATAAAGTTAAATAGTTGATCATTTTTCATCTTGAATAAAGAACATTTTGTTTGATACAATGAAATCAAGAGAGATTTACATTGCATGACGCAAATTAAACTAGCTGTTATTGGTACAACTAGTAGTTCAAAACATTCATTTAGTCTTTTTTTTTATTCCCTTCATTTTCAATAACTGGAATTTTGCTGTGAAACGTTTATAGTGAAATGATTACTATGTGGTGGTTTTTAGCTCACCTGACACGGAAGCCCGAGTGAGCTTTTCTGATCAAAGATTGTCTTGCAATCGGTCTTTTGTCTGGGGTGTGTAAAGTTTGATATATTTTATTTCTTTGAAAGACCAACTGGCCCAATTTCAATTAAGGGGATTTAACTTTGTTCATAGGAAGTGTCTCGCCCTCTTGAAGTGGGGGGTAATTAAGAATTTTGGTGGCATTATTCAAAAATCTTCTGAAGAACCACTGAAGAAAAGATGACATTTACGTGAAATTTAGCTTCATTACATACCCTATATTCAATAATTCCTGGGGGAAGGATGGGCCACAAGTGGAGCAAAGTATGCATAGAAAAATATTTGAAATGTCTGTAAAATTCTCTCAACTCAGAACAGGCAAAGCCATGATTAGTCAAACTATTAAAGAATTATCCTCAGGTAATGTGAGTGGGCATGAAAATAGATATTAACCCCCCCCCCCCCACCCACCCTCCCCTCTTTCCCCTAAGTCTTAAATAGTCCCCCAAAAAATGAAATGTCCCTTTTCTTTTAAAGAAAAAGATTGAGTTTCAATACACTTATTCATTTAGGCAAATAGAAAATCCCCCAAAATCATGGAAGAGGCAAACAGAATCAATCCGAATTTCCTCTGGTCAAAATTTGAGAAAAATGGGTCAGAGGAAATTCAAGTTAAAATATCTTTAAAAGTAACTCATATTGATATACAATTTTTTACACCATTTGAAAGCACTTCATCTAAGTAACAAATATATAGAAAAAAAAATACTTGTTAATTATTTCTAATTTATTTTCCAAGCTCATTTTATAAGCCCTGTGAAAGGGAAAAAAGGCATTTTTTTGTATGAGGGTGTGTGCTTTTTGATAAGAATTAAATTTTATCTTCTATCAATTATCATTATTATTTTATCAATATTTATATTCCCTATGACTACTTTTAAAAGATAGCAAAAGGTTGGAATGATTTGAAAACATTTCATAGTTTAAAATAAATATTAAATATGTTGGACACAAATTTGGTCTTTTTCTTTACTAAAATGAGAGAATTACCTCCCTTTGTCAGGAACACCTATAGCTTGAAAATTAAATCATATTCATATGCATTTTTCTGGCTTAAAATAATTTATTATGTTTATTCTTACAATTAAAAAAGAAGAAAATCATTTTCAATTATTTTTAATGTCAGAAGCCAAACACCTTAAGGGATACAACAGCCTTTTTTTTATTGGTTTCATGATGTGATCAATCCAATGGCTTGTGTGATAATTTGCATAAAGGCTATTTTGGATAAAATTATCAAGCAAACCAATCGATTGATCATCATCATGATACCAAAAAAATCTGACAGTTATTCCTTATATTTACATGCTCTTGGTTCCATAAAATCACGTGCTATGTACAAAGCCCCGCTTCTGTGTCTATTTTTCCCGCCCCGCACGAGATTATTTTAACCGCGCCTATCGATGAACCAGTAGATTTATGTGTTTAATAAAGTATTTTTACAGTTTATAATTTTATCTTGGACAAAGACATTGAAAATGTAAATATATATCTATATTTCAATTGATTACAGTTTTTATTTGATAATTATAGAAACATGATCGTTAGTTCTTCATATAACATTATTTGATTTTTTTATACTCTTTGCAAGAAAATGAGATACTTTCGTCATCTCAAGCAGCTATTTTTTTTTTAAATATTGATTCAATTCGTATAAATTATTGCCTTAATTAAAACTTTACAAATTAACTTAGTCGATAAGCCCTAGTTTTGTGGCTGTAAATCTCAAATTTTAAGCAACTCAAATGTAGCCCCTGCGCCCTTTGCGCGACATTCATTTAGGCACTTACATAGATGTATATGTACCCCCTTTCAAGTTGCTTCCGACACAGTATACAATGTACTTACATGGCAGATGGCTCCGGCTACTGAAATGAAAACACTGTCTCTCTTTATCTCTGGGACTCAGGCCTAAACACATCTTCCACAGGCCTGCGTTACTCACCTGATCCTTAGACCAGTGAGCGGTGCTGAAACTTACAAGGTTTATTATTAATCCAATCAACATCAAGATCGGGCCCGGAAGGAAATAAACCAGTTTTTTAATCTCCATCGAAATAATATTCCATCGTATTTCATTGAATCACCCGCAGTTGATTTTTCTGTCAAGTAGATTGAAATTTACCACAATGTCCTGTTGTGAATTTCGTTCGTATAATTCAAGTCTTCGTCGTAAATATAAAATATGCAATTTTTCATTTTCGGAAGATCGTCTTCTTCATAATGTGGGACTTTAATGGTTGTGTTCGTGCGTTCACAATCAAGGAACCCAGAGTAATTAAAACTTCTTTTGATAAATGTTCCATCGATGATAATTCTTATCTCATTTTTCAGATATTTAATCCTGTAAACTTCAGGCCTAAAAGTCGGCACAAAAGCGTACAAAGGGCCAGCGAAAGTGACAAAAGTTTCCCGTTTGTGCCGTTATCAACTTTCAGCAATTTTACTGGCCTTAATATCACAACTTCTTAAATAACAGGCCGACAAGTAAACCAGTATCATTCCCCCAACCTTTCAAAACTTCCCATTTAAAAATTACAACCTCAAAACAGCCCGAGAAAAAGCGGGGCATTAAATTCTTATAAATTACATCTCCGCCGAACAGTTTAAGACATTCTTGAGAGCGAGAAGTCGAAAATTTGAATATTTGTTTTTGCCTGTATAGAACTTTAGTCCAGTTCGCCAAATTTTATATCTGATTGTATAGCGTGTTGAAGAGTCATTGACGGGCACCGACAAGCCATGAAATAATATTGGGGGATGGGATTCGCATTGAAAGAAATTTTGACACAAATTTATGAAAATGATAGCCATCGATCGGCGCGATGTTATTATTTAAATTGACTTCTATCTCACACTTAACACTTTAAACTTCTTTAATTTGTTGCAATGATTAACGCATGCGGCTTTCAAATTAAATATGCGGAATATCGCCCATTTTTCTCGGTGCACGATCAAGAACGATGAAGCTGATAACAGATAAATAAAAGAAGAAATACTAAAATGTAATTAAGTACATTTTTGTCAAATAAAAAATGTCAGCTAATTTTTGTTTTGTTTTGTTTATTTAATTGATTTGATCAAATAAAGATATTTACAAGAATTAATCTGTTCGGACAGACCTTGAATTGTATAAATAAGATACCTCTGCACATACGTTGATCTTAGAGTAAATACTCCCCCCAAAAAATCCGATAACACTAGATTGACAATTTAACTTCATTGATCTTCTGAACAATTGCTTTTGAATGCCAAATCCATCGATCCTGCAAAATCGCGACAATTGATTTCTGACAATGACGGGAAAAATTCAACATTTGAAAAGCCACTACAAAACGTAGGTGTCAGGGTGTAGAAAACGGGGGATAATTTCATACATCGTATACATGTGTGTATGTCATATGACAGCATGTTTAATTTGGGTTTTATAATATAAAGTTATTTTAAAGATATATGGTCATTCATCCGAAAATATCTGTTGAAAAGCTAAAAGGAGGTAAATTATTGGAGTATGAATATTTTTTTTTTTATAAATATCTGTCTTACAATCTTTATAAAGGTGTATTTAGGCCCAAAGATCACGGGACACCAAAATTCAAATCTGGTAAAGAAGTATGCGTGTGCAAAGGTGTACACTAGATACATGTCTAACTTCTGATAGTAGTAATCGCCTCGCCAAAGGTTATAAAAACACGCAGGTCTACTCGATATTTTTCTTTGTAACTATTTTTTAATTCATTTTTTACACACATACCCACCCACCACACTCACACCCTAACAAACAGTGTATATATACGCATATCCTGATATTCTTGCCCACCCACCCCATACAACATGTTAAAACTTTAATATAAAAACAGAAGCCGTTGAGTACTAATTTTTTTTTCAATTTCAGTGTACCAATGTAATGCATCTTCTTTTTGACCGGTTTTTTGACCTTGGGCTTAACTTAGGTCAAGGACATTTATGAAAAGACATACATATGTTGTTGTTAATGTTGACGAAAATTTACGGTAAACATTAAACCTCCTGCATGTTAATCAAACAAAACGCTGTGGAAATGTAAGTATTTCTTTGTTTTCTAGCATAAACAAACCAGTCATCTTTGTACATTTGTTTAATTATTTATATACTCGTGTAAACAGAAAAGATTCATTTTTGTAAGTTTATATTCAAAAATTCTTAAATTGTTTAATACAAGTTTATTCAGAATAAACTTTGTGAGCGTAAATTTAAAAGTGCTTAATTATAAATTGTTTCAATGAAATACATGTACATCGTATCTCTACTGTTTAAGAAGTCATTAATGCTATTTTTCGACTAACAGAAAAATCATGAACGCAGGAATTAACACATTATGCAGTGAGGTTCACTTATATCTTTATACTGAATGTCAAAACACGATTATTTTCCAGTTGAAAATGGTACGTTGTGACAGAATTAATTTCAAAAATGATACACACTTTTTGATATAAAAACATAAAAATTGTAATTCTGATCCAAAAATTATGCTTGATTTAAGATTATCTCGTAAGGATACTCGGTTCAAATTTCAGTGAAAATTAATTAAATATGTACATGTGTACATGTAACTAGGACAACACAGGTGTTAGCTACAGCATTGTTCTTTTTGTTTGGGCGGGACTTTCTCCATTTCAAAGGAGTCATCAAATTGGGGTTTTCTGATGGAGGTTGAGAGAGAGATGTGTTCCGAAGGTTGTTGACTTTCCGAAGGTAGCTCCAGAATTTTCTCTATCAGAAATTTCATTGCTTCATCTAAAATTCAAAAAGGAATGTTAAAATGCAACGCTTGTACTTTTAAATAAATAAAATGGTCTATCCGAACAAAAAATACACTATGTTTGTATTTACAATACCAAATAATAATAATAATAATAATAATAATAATACTTTATTTATTTTATTTTTATTTATTTATTTATTTTTTATTTTTAAGAGGGTAACCCGATTAGTGCAATGCACTAGTCTTCCTCGGGGCCCTCTAAGCAATATTAGCATGTTCACAATAATACAATAATAAAATCATTGTACAATAATAAATAATACAACATGACGTAAACATACAAGCACATATAGATTTCAGGAGATTTTAGTTGCGGCACGTTATTATGAATTTTTCTACATTTTTACGAAATGTGTGTAAATTCTGTGAAAAACGTATGTACAAAGGTAATTTGTTCCATAAATGAACACCGGAATAATGAAAAGAATTTTTAAATTGATTTGTTCGATATTTCGGTAGATGAAGGTCATAGTTTGTTTCAGATCGTAGAGCATAATTACTAGAAGAAATAAATTCAAAAGAGTCTCTTAAATAAGTAGGTGCCATACCATGAAGTGTTTTGTACAGTAATATATATTTATGAAAATCGATCAACTCGTAAATAGTCAGCCATCCAAGTTTTTCGAATAATGGTAGTGAAGGGGCATCATAAGCCACATCTAGTATAATACGGGCTGCCCTTTTTTGCAATTTAAAAACTCTTATCTATGCCAGCACCTGGCGCATTACCCCAAATAGTTAGGCAATAATTCAAAGAAGGCAGAATGTATGCATTATAGAATAGTTTTCTTGTGTGTAAGGGAAGGAATATTTTTATTTTGCATAAGGTATATAATTTATATGTCAAAGATTTACAAACTGAGTCAATATGGTGATTATAGCGCAATGAACCATCAATATACACTCCCAGAAGTTTTTCAGATTCAACATTTTCAATTAATTTGTTTGAGGCATATAAATTTAGTTCAGGTGAATCTATTCTTGATTTTCTCTGTTGAGTTCCCATAAGCATACATTTTGTCTTATTGGTATTTAACACCATTTGATTTTTGGAACACCAATTTTCAATCTCGCACAGATCAAAGTTAAGGGCATTCTCAATACCTTCTATATTTTTATGATATGTATGCAAGGTTGCATCATCGGCAAACATATCAATATCTGTTCTATTTACATGTAAAGGGAGATCATTTATATACAATAAAAATAATAGGGAACCTAAGATAGATCCTTGGGGCACTCCTGCTGTGACGGGCAAAAAATCAGAGGAATATGTTCCTATTTTTACACACTGAGACCTTGAGGTTAAATAAGAATGAAACCATTTAATAGCCATTTGATCAAAGTGATATGATTGAAGTTTACTTATAAGAATTTCATGATTAACCAAATCAAATGCCTTGCTAAAGTCAATGAAAGTTATGCCTACTAGATTTCCTTGGTCCATAGCTTGTAGCCATTTATCTGTAAGTTTTGTAAGAGCCGTTTGACATGAATGAAATTCTCGAAATCCAGATTGTGATTTAAATAAAAGATCAAAGTTAGAGGCAAAGTTGCGTATTTGATTTGCTATGTGTTTTTCAACTAATTTCGATAATGTTGGAAGAATGGATATCGGTCTGTAGTTCCCTGGATCTGCGTGGTCGCCATTTTTGAAAATAGGAGTGACTTTTGCTTGTTTTAAACTGGATGGAAATACTCCATTAGTGATACTAGCATTTATAAGATGTGTAATAGATTTGCATATGACATTTGCCGAAAGTTTTAGAAGACGAGGTCCGATAAAGTCTATACCGGCTGACTTATTTACATCCAGTGTATTCAACATATTCAATACTTCAAATTCAGTTATTTCATCAATACTGAAAAAATTTTCTTTCCCTAGTTTAGTTTCTGTATATCGATTTAATAATTCTGAATCAAAACTTTGTACTGACATATCGGCTAATAATTTACAGGATATTTCCGTAAAGTGTTTGTTAAAAATATCAACAATATCCTGTAAATCTTAAAAATCTAAACCATTTTGTGTAATACGGCTAGGTGTAAAAGTTTTGGATTTAGATGCCAAATGGTTTAAATAACTCCACATTCCTTTAGGACTTGAGCTTTCTTCAATTGCTGATTTGTAATACTTTGATTTCGCTTGATCTATTAATTGTGTCACTTTATTTCTCCAAATTTTGTAATTTTCTGAATTCCTTTGTAAATGATATGTATCGCGTAAATGTCTAGCATCATTTATTTCTTGTGTTAACCATTTAGGTCGAATTTCAGTCTTGACTCTTTTAGTTTTTACTTTGGCATGCTTGTTAAGAATATCATTAAACAATTCATAAAATTTATTCATTATTTCGTTTGGGTCTTTAAGTTCAAGAAGAGTGTTAAAATTTGCATTTTCTAACTCTCTCAAAAACTCGTTTTCGTTGAATTGTTTAAAATCTCTATATTGGATTTCAGTATGTTTTCCTCTACGCTGTATACAATTAGTTTTCCGTGTCAAACATACAGGGTAGTGGTCAGAAATAGCAATAGGGGGCACATTTGTTTCACATATGCTTTCTGGTTTGGTTGTATAAAAATGATCAATTAAGGTACTTGAGGTACTTGTTATTCTAGTAGGAACAGTAACTATCTGTGAAAGTCCAAACTCCTCTAAAGCAGATGTCCAATATTGTGGGGGGTCTTTCATTAGATCAATATTGAAATCACCTGATAGAATAATTTCAGTATCGTCACAGCAGGAGGCACGGTTCACCTCCCTTGCTAGGTCCTCCGCCCAGCAGGAGGGGGCAGATGGTGGACGATAAGCAGAGCAATAAAATATAGGTTTTGAATTTTTTAGATTTATCTCTAGCCATATTGTTTCAATATTACTGATTTCAAAATCAGTTCTACGTTTATAAGAAATGTCATTTGAAATGTATATTAAAATTCCACCACCTGCCCTTCAGGAAGTGTTCAATTTCTCCCTTTGAAGTCTCCTCCCCCCTCAATATATGTACCTATATAATTATCATGACAGTTTTTCTTCATAGAAAAACTAAATGAGCTTATTTAAAAGAGCAAAAGGAGGGGGTTAATTTGCAATGAAAGGAGGATAACCTGTTACCCTGAGGAAAGAAAGTTAAAATAAGGTGAAATACTCAATCGCATTTCTCGGCCCTTTCCGGCAAGTTACGAAAAACACAGTTTTTCTGCTTGTCGGAAATGCTAGAGAAGTTGCGATTACGTAAAAAGCAAGTGCGTAAATGTTGGGGAATGGTTACTGAACATTGATAAGAAATCATTTTTAATATAGCTGATCGAATAAATAAATTAAATGATTCTTGAAAAACCTCTAAAGCAATTTAGGGCCCTGGGTATGGATATGAATTTGTTTAGTAAAACTAAAATAATACTTTCTTTTTGTTTTTTTTTTTTAAATTTCTTATTCATATAACCTACAGTATACATGTATTGCAACAGCTGCTAGAGAATCGAGTATCATCTTTATCAATTTTAAAGTTTTTGAATTTATACATTAATTTTGCCTTCTTTTTTTCAAAGAAGGTAAATAACTATTTTTTAAGAAATGTAGATCTTACCGATATTCTTATCAGTTTTAGCTGATGTAGGAAACCAGCCCGTAATGGAATTTTCTTGACAATATTGGTCTAGTCGTTTAGAGTCAACATCAACATCTTGGAGATCACACTGAGTGAGAAAAAAATCGACCTGACATTTTATTTTAAAAAATAAACTTGACATTTTATTTCATAAAAAATTAATGTATGTCGGAAAAAAGAACAGAATTGCCACTCGTAAAGTAGCCATTTATCCAAAAAAAAAATCTAACGTACCAAATTCAAGCAATATCTTTGTTAAAAAACACTAAACCCCTGATCAGAGGTCAGTACATTGTCATGTTTTGAATTTTCGTATATATTAGTAGCTACACTGTAGCTCTCCGAGAAAATATTTATTGACAGACTGGAGAGCTACAGTGTCACCCAAAGAAAAAATATACATTGTATATTTATTGCGCACAAAAAGTAGCTGCAGATCTGTAGCTCTCCGAAAACTAAAATCTCCGGTCTGTCAATATATTTTTTTTTTTTGGAGAGCTACAGATCTGCAGCTAGTAGATTAGAAGTGCAATTCAAGATCGTTGAAATATTTTAATTTTTTTCTTGTTTTTAATTTCATAAACTCTATAATGTACAGTACGTATATCAGAATTTTTTTTTTTTGTTAAAACAGCTTCATGTGGGTGAATCTCATTCAAAAAATTTATTTTCTCTTGATGGGAAATTTGGCCCACTGACAGAAAGAATTTTGAGACAAATAACTGAAAAATGAAGATGTTTTGCATTATTTTAAACATTACGTGTATGTTCTCATCTTTTACCTTGTTTGCTAATAACAGAACAGGAACCGGCTGCTCATTGGCTAACATTACTTTGGAATTAACGTCACCAAGCCACTAAAAATAGAACTTATTCAAAAAAAAACTGACTTATTTGCAATTTTTTTTCAAATCACTGCGTTTACATGTACATTTCATAAATTTTAAGGTGACGAGTACAGTAGTTAAAAGCCATTGGTGGATCTGGAGGGGACCCGCCCGCCCCCTAAAATATACATATAAGATTTAATAGGTATTAAAATAAATATTTTTTTGGTACCGGTGTGGCTGTGGGCCCCTACCCTGACCCCAAACTGCTCCCCCTTTTTTTCAAGATTCCTAGATCCGACATTGACCACTAACCCTGTCTATCAGAGGAAATGAAACAGACCAAATATTTTTTTTAAAAAAAATCTGGTTTGGATACTATTTAATCAAATTTTTACAAAATAATTTTTTTAATACTTCTGTAATCTTGAATTTCAACAACAGTAGTAAAAAAAAACTTTCAGCTTCACATGTTCCTGCATTGTATCAAATTTGATAATGGAAAAGTTGTTAAATATGAAAAATTTTAGAATACATACTTTTGAGACAGAGTCGAAGGTAGCCGGACTGCAAAAAAGTCGTAGTTTATATAGTTAATCAAATAAGCATGACAGGTATATATCAACATATAAATTTTCAAATTTTACATCCCTTTTATCGAATTTAAGCCTTGAAATAATTATATATAAAACAAAAACTAGAAAATTACTAGTCTAAATTTTTTTGGTAAGCGATTACCCCCCCTCCCCCATTCCTCCGATGGTTCTTAAATCTTAAGGATTACGATGCCTTTACCAATTCTTTTTAATAGTGCGTCCATATACATGTGTCATGAGAAAAACTTTGTTTTCAATTTATATTTAGAATTAAAATTTACAGAGTTCTATTATTTTAATTAAATTTTTAGAAAAATAAGGTAGTAATTTAGCATTTATGAATTATTTTTAAAAGTTTATTTTTGATAAATAGAATTTTACTTTTGGTAGAAAATATGTACATTAAGTAAACTCTCTTTTTAATTGTAATTTCGGAATTTCACAATTGTCATTTGGAAATAATTAAGTCATGAACTCATTGGCGATTGAAAATTGTTAAATATTGAAAGACACATGTACAAGTCTCAGTTTTAAAACAAAAATGTCCTTAATATCACACGTTTCGTTTAACTGAAGCGTATAGAATAAAAAAAAATGACTCACCGAGAAAGATCAAATACAATAATGGCCGCTATTCTATAAAAGAGAAAAAATTAAATAAAAATTATAATCTAATACCACGCAGTTTGTGGAAATTAACTTGTAAAAAAAACATAAATTCCATTCCATATGAACATAATTATTTTCTAATTAAAAACCTTAATTTCTCAAAATGAAAATGCACGTACGTGTCTGATACATGTATCAAAAAAAGGATAAAGAAAAAAACTTACGCATATTTGTAATAAACACGAGTCATGTGCCCGAATCTTTCATGACCCGCGATGTCCCTAATGGAGAAAAGAAAAGTTCTGAAATCATACATATATACGAGTTATCGTTCCTTCAACATAACGTGTATATATATATATTGCTCGGGGTGATATATATTTAAGAAATGAATTTAATTTTTGAAGATTTATAAGGTTATGAACTACGACGCTTCACGCCGGCATATTTCATGAAGCGCGTTAGGGGAAAATTATTGGAAATGTAAATATATATGTTTATTCACCAATCAAGGGCCCTTAGGGGGCATAAACAATTGTTACAATATGATTACAATTAGACAGTATTGAAGTTTATTGTAAATTGACAGTTCTGTAGCTCGCTAGAATCGACTCTGGTCTATCAAAAATTTTCCCCCGAGAGCTAGATGTACAGTCTATGTTCTGCAGCAACATAATTATTAGAAATAGACCAAATATAAACTATATAATCCCTAAATTATAACACATGTATTTCGTTCGCTTTAGGACAGTACTGTAACTTACCATAGCTGAAGGTTGATCTTTGTATGTTCATCCCAATCCAAAAGCTTTAATGCGAAATCGACGCCTATTGTGAGTTTGTAGTTCGGAGAAAAGGAACCTGAGAAAAATACATGAGTATAATAAATACATAATGTAGTGCAAAAATTCACTCAAAGCTTTTATCAAGATGACAAATAAAGGGAAGGGTGAACCCCCCCCCCCCCAATTGATAAAATAACTAGAAAATATGAGGCGCATTTGGGTATAGATGGTTTTTCATTGAGGTGATTTAAGTAAGAGTTATTTCCCATGGCCGCCATGTTGTAGGGCAACATTTCCAGATCCCTTCATTATTCAACCAAGTTCAGTTTGTTACAAGTATACTGGTTACTGAGTACGTAAAGTTACATGTAACACTACTTTTCTTCTGAAAATACGTTTGTTAATTAAAGCCTCTATTAATTCATAATCTTAAGATTGTAAATATTTCCCCCATATATTTCTGGCATGTATGTTTAAAACTGGTTGCTAAAAAGAAAAAAATCACTGCTTTGCCCTACAAGATGGCGGCTAGGGGGAATACATTTCATTCCGAGGCAAGATACAATGTATGTCATAGGAAAACCATCTATTTTGAGATATTTTCTGATATTTCAAAAAGAAGGATTTTTGACATCTATATATAAATAATTCGAAATTCTCGTTATCAGAATTATTTTGATATTAAGAATTTAGATTCTTTGTAAGAAAAATAGATTTCACTCAGGTCCTACACATGGTTTTTAAAGCTTCTCCTCTCATGTCGTTTATAAACAAGTTAATGCAATTAGTGTTTGGTAGTTGTGTGATTTTTGTTTAATCAACATCTTATGTATGTAATCTTAAAGGGGCATGGACACAGTTTCCGTTAAAAATGTTCAAATATATTTTCTCATTTTTTTATGCTTTCAAATATTTATCTATAAAGTATTGCTTATGATCATCAAAATTTGAATATCTGTTGTCGAGATACAAGACATAGTTAGAACTCATTTGTTATACATGTAAAATCAATGTAAACAGGGTTCGTGTCATGTTAATTTGTTTACAAAGGTTAAATATACTAATATTTGTCCGTTCAAAGCAGATTTTTTTTTTCAGTGTCAGAGGAGATTAATTCTAAATACGATTAGACTATTTCTAATGCTGAATTTTGTTTTGATATGTAAATATGATATTTTCTACATTGTAAACAAAAACAAGGCATGAGCCTTGTCTGTACATAGTCAGTGTATCTCCTTTAAAAATCAACAAATGATGTTCAAATTTTTTGCTGATCATTAGAATTGCCTTATAGTTAGAAATTGTAAACATTAAAATTGGTTTTTAAAAAATCAGTAGAAAATGTATCCATGACCCTTCAAAAAGATTAATAAAATAAACTTATAACTATCATGGGGGAAAAGCAAAGTATCATATTTGAATTAACACAAAAGTGCAACTCAGTATAATTATCGTGATATCGGTCTGTCCATTTGTGTGTGTCGGGGTGGGGGGGGGGTGGGGAGGGGGTTCAGTGTTATATCTATTCACTACTCGAATACTCCAGGCTGGCTCTAACTTTTATCATTTTTGTATTTTATATGATGCAAGCTGCAAACATCGACATTACATAACGTTTTTTAAGGAATGAATTTTATCAAAGTCAAAAGTGTATCTAGTCGGCGGTATGGAAACGTAATTGCTTTCTAATGTAAATAGCGGAAGAAATGCAGTAAACTGCCAGTGTACATGTACATACAATTTTCTCAATATGTACAGCGTATATATATGAGTACTATTTGTCGATCACACACGTAAAATGGAGTTTCAAGAAGTTCTCTTTATTGATACAAAAAATTCGACACTCTAGATAACAAGAGACACATGGGCCACAACAGTCATTTTTGACTTAACTTTGGCCCTGCTCTTCTTCTCCAGACGTTCCCGGACGTGAGAGGCTATTGTGGCCCTTTTCATACGCCAGGGAGGGAGAGGGTCATAATTTTAAAAATTTTCAATCTACGGAAGTACGCTACTCTAGCTTGCTTAGGGATGCTATTGCATAAGTTTCAGCATTCCTACATGTAGCCCAGTGGTTCTTGACAAAAAAGTTCTTTTAAAGATTTTTTGTATATATTTCAATGAAAAACTTGGATTTCCTATTGCGGTCCTGACCTACTCCCAGGGGTCATGATTTTAACAATTAAGAATCTAGCTAATCTTCACCATTGCAGGGTGCTTAAAAGCTTCCACATGAGCTTTTCCGGTCCAGTAGTTCTTGAGAATAAGATTTTTATCTATATTTCAATGTAAAACTTCGATTCTCTATTGTGGCCCCGCCCCACTCTCAGGGGTCATGTGTTTACCAATTTAGAATTTACACTACCCTTAGATGCTTCCACAAAATTTTCAGTTTTTGTGACCCAGTGGTCCCTGAGAAAGAGATTTTTTAATGACGTCCTATTTTTGCCTTTTCTTGATAAACTCCCCTTATAAGGGGTCTTGGACATTCTATTTAACAATTTAATTTCCCTTAAACCCAAGGATGCTTTGTACTAACTTTGGTTAACATTTGCTCAGTGGTTATAGAGAAGTTGAAAATGTGAAAAATTCACAGACGGGCGAACGACAAACAACCGGTGATCAGAAAAAAACTCATTTAATCTTTCAGTTCAGGCGAGCTAAAGACCCGATTGCATGATCAGACTGTTTCAATTCAATTATCTTTCCATTATCATTCAGATAAAATATACACATGTACTTACTTAATAGTGTATTTAATAGTCATTTTGTTTACTGTAATAATTGAATATCACGATCGAAACAATCAGTATCTGAATTTTTTTTTTTTGGGGGGGGGGGGGGGGGGGGGGGGTAATGAGGAATTTAATATTTGTAAATTTTATGGGGGGGGGGGGTAGTGGGGGGATTGTCCTAGTTTAATGAGTTAACAATGCTCTTTATACTTTATTGCGGGGTGGTCGTTGGCGTGTACATGTATAATAATGAAATGTCTTGGTGTAAGGAAATTCAATGATGATGTTACCTTCAGTATAACGGCGAATAATCGATGTTTTTCCTGTTCAGGAATCAAAAAAAGATAAATTGATAAAACTTCTTTTTGTCAGGATAAATGGGACAAATGTATACGTATTTTACATATAACAACTATCAATCTCAGAGATACAAGTTTAACCCGGGTAATTAACTTGATAAACAAGAGCCTATACTATAGTATTACACGTATGTCTTTACTTTCAAAAATATGGAAATCTGATGTTAATTAAAAAAGGTGCTCAAGTACTTCAAAAGAAATAATAATAGTGATTTAAATCACTTCACGTGATATTTCTTCGATATATTTTAAAAACCCAGATATTTTAATGAAAAAAAACTTTGGAGATAGAAGTTAAATAATCTTTTCTTAAGAAAAGTAAATTAAACTTGCCTACTAATTATGTTGTAAGACACACACCTACACCGAATTCTCCTATCACAAGAATCTTATAAAGGTGTTCCTGTCTCGATAATTTAGAGGCGGGTGTTGCCGCCATCTTCGTGTCATGTGATAACTCTGTTTAATCTGTTTATCACGGGCACTTGTTTCGGTAATAAATTTTAACCCTCTAGTATAGCAGTGTTCTTATTACTAGTATACTATATGTTAATTATATGCATGGAGAAAAAAATGCACATGACACTAGTGTTGTTGCCATTGGGAAAGACCCCAGTACTTGATTGTGCCCATATGTCACAAAAGCAGAGGAACCTGTTTTCCAAAGACATGAGATAGTTGGAACAAGGAAAATTTATGAAGATTTTGACAATAGAGACATCTCTGTGAATGTACATACCCACGACAGGAATATGGTCATCAAAGAGAACATGGATTTACATGTAATCAAACCGATCTTTGGCATGGCATCAAGAGGTTAAAAAAGCCTTGACTGATATGTCAATTGGACCAAGATACAAGGAAGGATAAACGTGGTCTGAAGAATTGATTGATCAAGTGGAACCTGTGGCAACACATATTTACAGGGCAACCAAGTATTGTGATGGTAATTCAGCTACTTTGAGAACTTTTGTTGGACAATATTGTGGACCATTACCAAACAACCACACACAATGTCACCCCAGCTCCAGATGTAAACGAGATCCAAATTATGAACCTTCAAAGGTTGTAATTGAAAATTCGGTGGCAGTTAAATTACTGAGTATAAATTCCACTTTTTATAAGAATCCAGACCATTTTCATTTAGGAAGAGATACGTAATTCGTGGAAAGTTTTCATAATACTTTGAATATTTATCAAGACAAAAGAATTATAGCATTTGAAAGTGAACAATATAAAGTGTGTGCTTCTTGCTACTTTGCAATGGAATGAAAATGAAAACAGATAACATACTTCTATTTCATTCAAGCCTGATCCAAAGGCCCTAGAAGACTAAAGGAAAAAAGAACTATACAAAGAAAACATTTAATTTTAGAAATAAAATATGGATGGAAATCAATCAAGTGTACTTATAATAAAATTAAAGCGGAGAAATACATAGTAAAACCATGTGCAGAGCTTTATCTTTACTTTCTGTAAAACACGTGTTTGTTCTATGCAGGTATCTACATGTATTTTAATTTATAGCTTCACTCTGTAGTCTTTATCAGTTGGAGATCTGACCTGCTCCCTAATTGTTTATTGTTGTCCGTGTGGATATTTAACTAGGTCAGTTCTAACCTTTGAATCAATATTACAGAATTACAAGTGCCTATTTTTCAATTTATCCTGTCAAAGACAGTAATGACTTATTCTATCCAAGCGCCCATATAACACAGAAGATCAACTTTGGGATCGCCAGACAACAGGGCTCACCCCCATTTTATGTGTCGTCCGAAATTAGCAATATTAGCGAATATTTCCACGATCGACCCTGTGTTTATTCGGGCTTCATAGAGGAGTAAGTATTTAGATTTAAATCTAGATTTTTTTTTCAAATTGAGGTAAGAATTATGAAGATAATTTATCCAGAACCAAGCGCTTGTTGTGTGTAACACTATGTTCCCCAAACGAAGTTGGGGAACATATTGTTTTTACTCTGTTTCTTATTATTATTATTCTTATTATTTTTCTTCCTGGGAAAATTTTGTCCGCGAGTGATCTTGTAAACTACACATCCAACTTAGGTGAAACCTTTTTAGGGTAAGTAGGCATGTTATGTAGATTTGCGGAAAAACAAGGTCATTTTGCGCGCACGTGCTTGCAAGAGCACGCACATGCAAAACTTAAAATGACCAATATATAATGGATATAACCGTAACTTTTCTATTTTGTGACGAAATGTTTTGAAACTTATAATGTAAGGATATATTAGTAGTATGCACAAGATGACATGGTCAAAATAGCAAGATCGCACGCGCATGCACGTGTGCTTTGCTCTGATTGGCTGAAACTAAAGTCTCAATATCTTTTTTGTTTTTTGATAAAATTATTTGAAATTTTGAACATAGACCTACATTATGAAGATCTACAGCATGATATATAAGAATTTTCATGAAAGCATGCGCATGCCCGCGTGCTGCAATCTGATTGGCTGAAACTTTAAATGGCTATATCTACTTTGTTTTTTGACGAAATGCTTTGAAATTTAAAACATTGTCATTCATTAGGATATCCTACAATATGATATAGAAAAAAAATCAGGAAATCACGCGCATGCACGTGTGCTGCAATCTGATTGGCTTAAACTTGCAATGGCTATAACTCCCTTGTTTTTCAACCAAAGAGGATGGGATTTAGAATACAGATAGATGTAAGGGATTCCTACAAGAAGGTATGGTCATCATGCACGTGCACGCACGTGCGTGCATTTGGAACGAGTGAAATGAAAAATACACTTTAAAGAGTGATTTTTCATACTTTTTTACTGAATGCTTTAATATATTGTATATTAAAATATGTAGATAGTGTAGACAAGATGATATGATCATAACGGACAAGCATTCACATGCGCACGGGTGCAATGCTAAAATTTAAATATAATTGGTATCCTTCTGAGAAAACGTTGTTAAAGTCAAAATGCACAGAGTTTGTCTTATTTAAGTTATGAAGCTTGTAGGAAATATGGCACCAAAAAGGAGTTGGGGAGCGTTTGAACATCAAGCGCTTGTTACAATTAGCACTAGTTATACAGTTTTTTTTCAATGGGTTGCACTGCAGCTCTCCCGTTTGTCAACATATTTTTTTCGGAGAGCTACATATCTGCTTAATCTACAATCAATATCATATTTCCACAACCAACTTGATGGTGACGATATGGTTTCACTCAACTTTGCATCAACCACTAAAATTAAACCCCTGTGATGCGATTCCCGTGTCTGTAGAATTACAAATAAGAACGAAATCTGATCATCGAGTAAAATTTGTCAGACTACAAAATATATAGAATTTTAATATTATTCACTTTTTGACATGTTCCCTTACGTGAAAAGTCCGCTGTCCGAAGCTTAAGTCAGCTGACGGGTGTCTGAGATTTCGAAAATGTTCAGTGGCCCGCTTTGCTCAGTCAGTCCACGTGCACTTGACGTTAATTGTTCTAATATAAACAAGATGTGTTTGTAAAACACTGATGCCCCCGTATGGCAACATAGCGAAGATTAAACTTTTCTTAAATGCAAATTTAATATATTGGTACCCAAAGCAGGGTACTCTCACTGGAAATACAATTAAGAAATACGAAAGTAGGCCAAGGTTATAGTAATTTCATTAGTACGGAATTCTCCAAGGTCAAAAGGTCGATAATTGGTATCCAATGAAATGTCTTGCCACAAAGAATACATATAATATGTGAAGTCTGAAAGTCTTTGACCTAACCTTTCGAAAGTTATGGCCAAGGTTAAAAATTTTAAAAAGTAGGTCAAACTCCAAGGTAAAGGTCTAAAATTCTTCATATAAAATGAAAGGTCTTGTCACAAGGATTAACTAAGAAAAGTGCGAAAGGACTAGCCATAGTTAAAGATTACAAAGTTGAAGTTTTTTCATAAGTACGGAAATCTCCAAGGTCAAAGTCAAAAGGTCAAAGTTGTTGATATCCGATGAGAGATCCTTCCACAAATAATACATATGTGAAGTATAATAGTCCTGGTATTTACTGTTCAAAAGATATGGCCAAAGTAAAAGTTTGGAATTTTTGTGTAAAAGTGGGTCAAACTTCAAGGTCAACTTGAAAGTCAAAGATCAAATTTAGTGGTACCCAAAGAAAGTCTTCTCACAAGGAATACACATGTGAAATATGGAAGTCATAGTTCCTCTAAATCAAAAGTTATGGGCAAGGTTAAAGTTTTTGCGAACAAACAGATAGCTAGACAGAGAGAAAGACGGACGGACACGACAAAAACTATATACCCTCCGAAGTTTCGTTTACGGGGGCATAAAAAATAACCCCATACCTAATGGTAATGATACATTGTGTATTATTAGTATTGGGTGCATTTTTTTTATATAATAAGAAAAACAAGATGTGTTTGTGAAATACTGAAGCCCCCGTATAGCAACATAGCGAAGATTAAAACTTTTCTTAAATGTAAATTAAATATATCGGTATCCAAAATAGGGTCTTCTAACAAGAAACACGATTGTGAAATATGAAGGCCCTAGCATCACTTGTTCAAAAGTTATGGCCAAGGATAAGTTTTTAAAAGGTAGGTCAAATTCCAAGGTCAAAGGTTCAAAGTTGTTGGTTTCTTAAATAAGGTCTTGTCAAAAAGAATGCATATGTGAAGTATGGAAGCCGTAGCCCTAACCTATCAAAAGTTATGACCAAAGTTAAAGATTTTAAAAATAGGTCAAATTCCAAGGTCAAAGGGTCAAAGTTCTTGGTATCCAATGAAAGGTCTTCTCACAAGGATTACATATTATTTAAAGTAAGAAAGCCCTAGCCCTTACTGTTCAAAAGTTATGGCCAAGGTTATAGTTTTTTTTATAAGTACGGAAATCTCCAAGGTCAAAAGGTCAAAGTTGTTGGTATCAAATGAAAGGTCTTGCCATAAAGAATACATATGTGAAATATAAAAATCCTAGTATCTACCGTTCAAAAGTTATGGCAAAGTAAGTTTGGAATTTTTGTTGAAAAATCGGTCAAACTACAAGGTCAAAAGGTTAAATTTGGTGGTATCAAAAAAAAGTTCTTGTCACAAGAAATACACATGTGAAATATGAAAGTCATAGATTCACTAAATCAAACGTTATGGGCAAGGTTACAGTTTTTGCGGACAAACAGACACACTGACAGACAGATAGACGGACGAACACGAAAAAAACTATATACTCTCGAGTCTTCGATTACGGGGGCATAATAAGTAACGTCAGCTGCCTGTGATCTGGTCATCAGGTTTAAATTTTATTTACAGAACATGAAGATAGGAAAGGGGGGGGTTAACCTGTCCCCATGCCACTGCTTTATGATTTATGGTAAGTCTGATCAACATTGACAAAGTCTTAAAAGGTAAGAATCTATTACTTTTTCTAGTTTTTTTGAAAGCAGTTTTCATTTCTTGGAGGTAGGTTAACCTCTCTTTTTTTTCGATGGCTCCTCGTAAAGATGTGCAAGTTT